CATGGGACAAAGGGTCATGGAATATCACGTTGAGGCATGGGACAGCGAGCTGGGCTGGTACCTGGTGAGCAACGGTAGCACCATTGGTTACAGGAAAGTGGATCGACTGGAAGAGGATCAAAGAATGCGCTGCTTGGCTCGTTCGACTGCTGATTGACGCGTTGCAGGGAGATCCATTGATCTGCTTCTTTGGTTTGTACTTCGATATGTACAACCTCAAGCACTTGTCTTCTATTTAGAAGAGAAACTACAAGAGGATATGTATATTTCTTTTCAGGTATGAGAAACATAGCTTTGGGTTGGAAATCCCTGGCCTGATCAATAACAGTCTCTTTGCATCACTCCTAACAGATTGGAGCCTAGAGAACAACCAAAAAAAATCAAGAGCTAGCCCTCTACCCTTTGAGCTCATGGAAAGTACCCTTGCATGGAGATGGCAGCTGGTTAAACTTGAGAAGTTAGCTTGTCTGGAGGACCTCCTGTTGCTCCTGCTTCGTCGCCAAAAAATCACACCCGCAAACACATGTCCAAACATTGAACTAGTACTTCTCAGATTTAAAAGCTTTGAAAATACATTAGAACATCTTTTTGCCATGTAGTCAACGTGATGACCATTATTAAAATGTTTTAAATTTATAAACACAAAATTATTCTAAATAAATATCAACAATTAAATTATAGAATATTCAAGAATACCCAGGTATATTCTATGTTGGTTTGCTTAAGCAAACCAAAAATATAGTGCTTAAATTGAAGAAATAAATGGCTATAACTTAACTGAAGCCATAAAAGATAAGGTATTGTGGAAAAATAAAGAATATATGTGTGCAAATACTAAACAGGTAATACACCTTGTGGGTGTTCTTTTGCAAATAGCCTGCAGAAAAAAAGCTATTAAAATAAATATTTGATTTGTAAAGAATACTTGATGCATTAAAAATATAAGCTTATAAAACACTTTTTCTCCATCTAGCATGTCATAGAGGACAAAGTAGCAATCTATTTAAATTATAACTCAATGTAGATTAAAATCACTAAAGGATGATCCTAATGATTCAAAACAACTATTATACTTGTCTCAAAAGGCTAGCAATATTCTAATCTGAATACCAATACTGGATTTGGAATGATGCTAGACTGGGAACTGAAGTATAACTCTAGTTGAGTCTAGTATTCCTAAGAGTTTAAGAATGATTAAGATTGTACTCCAATATGTTAGTTTTGAAAAATTTCATATACTTATATTCCATGATATTGGAAGAGAAGAGAATAGATTGGTCATGAAACATTGAACAAGTGCTAGTTGCCATTGAAGAAGCAATAGTGCTCTATACAACAACATTATATATAAAACTCCACCCTGCAGAATAGAAAGAAAGTTTTCGAAGGGAATGGATGAGTAGGAAATGGCACTTGTGATATTTCTTATTTCCAATGGGGAGAATTGTTTGGGATGTTGAGCATCCCTGATTGCTATGCTAGATAATATGTTTGATAACATATGTCAAACTTCTCATCATCAAATTACTTAACTATCCTTCATTATGCATATATTAATTCCTAAAGCTCTCCAAGGATTTGGTTCTTGACAGATTATGGCATTGACTTTGCGGAAGATTTGATAAATTTCCTTGTAAAATCGCCTTGCATACATGCTTTGCAAAGAACAATCCA